TCAACGTCTGAATTTAATGGAGCATAAAGGGGTGGTATTTCTCATGAAGGAGGCATATTATCCGTTTAAACAGCTTTCAGTCTTGCACATGAATTAGGCCTTCGACAAGCTTTGGAAAAAGAGAAACTGCACAGTAATGAATTAACATGCTTGCATATTCCTAACAAAGAAACCATCTCTTCTGAAAAGGAGAGAAAGCTCCAGTGTCTCTGCTACATTTGGAAATCTAAAATTAATTATTGACTTTTCCATATTGTTTGCAACCACTTTGTTTGCCCATTTATTGTAAGATGCATATGTAGTAATTGTCTTACAGGAGCTCATAAACCTCAGACTGCAAACGGGATGATATATGACCAATTTATCATACATGCCCTTTAGACACAGAGCTAAACCTGGCCTAAGGGGAAAGTGGCCAATGCGCACTTTGTAAACGTCTTTTCTTATGGCACCAGGGGAAGGAAATGAAATGGTAAAATTCTCTAATAGCTGCAATTGAAAAACATTTTATATTTCTCTCCTAAATTTCCCCTTACCACTTAGGAAACCGATTTGGAGTGGGTCCTAGAATACACCTTGGTGAATATATTTATGCTAAAAATAGCAATAATTTATTGACTATGAAACCTGAAAAACTCTTTTCTCATCTAGTATATGTAATATCACACTTTTCATTCTTTAAAAAATAAACATGTCTGTTATTAAAGTTGCAGTAAATTTAAAAATAAATTCATATGAAACCTACATTTCAAGTTATCATTCTCTCTATATTATAGCAGCTGTATCAACTAGGACCCCTAGCAAGACTGCCCAGCATGCAAAGGTGACCACTTATCTCCAGGAAGGGAGATCCCACACCTCCTTTTCTAGCCTATTCTAATAGTTAATCACTAATCCATTCCACTAAGACCTTTCCTCCACTGAACTGAAACCCTCCTGCCTCAGTTGATCCTTCCAGTTTCCTCCTATTTCATTAGGTGATAGATAAGTAGGTAGATGGTAAATTTTGCTGAGGCCTTTATAGCAGAATTTAAATTCCCAATGGACAGATGGATAACTAATACAGCTATAGTGTTGAAAAGAGGTATTTAAGCAAAAAATATTTACTAGCATATTACAAAAAAAAATCAAGAGGAAACTCAATCATTTCAAGATGACAAACAGTATTCTGCAAATAGAGTGTGGTCCAAATATAAAAATTTATATTAATGAAAGGCAGTATAATGCAAACAATTATCAACAGTAAGATTCACTTTTTGCCCTGGCCTCTGTGTCTCAGTGGTTAGAGCATAGGCCCACAGACCCAAGGGTCTCAAGTTCAATTCCTGGTCAAGGGCATGTACCTGGGTTGCTGGTTAGATCCCCAGCCTGGTCAGGGTGTGTGCAGGAAGCAACTAATCGATGTCTCTCTCTCACATTGATGTTTCTCTCTCTCTCTCTCTAACCCTTTCCTCCCTCACTTCCATTCTCTCTAAAAAAAAAAAAAAAAAAAAAAAAAAAAA